TCAAAGGGATACATGATCCCTATGTTTATAGCAGCATTATTTACAATAGCTAAATTATGGAAGCAGCCCAAGTATCCATCAACAGATGAATGGAAAAGAAGAGGTGATGTATACATCGGAATATTACTCAGCCATAAAAAAAAGAAATCTTGCTACTTGCAAGGACATGGATAGAGCTAGAGAATATAATGCTGAGCAAAATAAGTCAATCAGAGATAGACAAATACCATATGATTTCACTCATCTGTGGAATTTAAGAAACAATCAAAGGGAGGGGGGAAAAAAAAAGAAACCAAGAAACAGAATCTTAACTATAGATAACAAACTGATGGTCACCAGAGGGGCAGTGGGTAGGGAGATGGCTGAAATAGGTGATGGGGATTAAGGAGCGCACTTCTGGCAATGGGCACTGAGTGATGTATGGAAGTGTTGAATCAATATATTGTACACCTGAAACTAATATAACACTGCATATTAACTATACTGGAATTAAAATAAGAATTAGGAAAAAAGAAAAAAAAAAAGACCAGCGGTAGCCTGGGTGGCTCAGTCAGTTAAGCATCTGACTTTGGCTCAGGTCATGATCTCAGGGTCCTGGAACTGAGCCCCACATCAGGCTCCCCACTCAGCAAGGAGTCTGCTTCTCCCTCTCCCTCTGCCCCTCCCCCTGCTCGTGCACTCTCTCAAATAAAATCTTAAAGTATTCTGCAATGTACATCATGTTCTACTCCTGCTCTGCACATCAACTTTAAGGATAATATATACGTTATGCTATTAACACATCCATCTCATGAGGTCATTCATCAGGGCAAGATACAGACACCACACTAATAACATAGAAAGAACCTGAATTAAAAGAAAACTGGCAAATTACATCATTTTGAAGGCAATTTCTACTGTTATACTATAATGGAAGAGTTTCTAAGCAGCCTACAGTAGCATAGAAGTGTTCAAAATACAGCTTTGGTAAAGAGTGTATGGTCTAGGAGTTACTAAAAGAAGAGAAAATAGGGAAAGAATAAAGATTGGCTTTGTCTCACACTTTTGCCTAGAACTAGCCTTGCTTATGTAAAAAACCTGTATTTCTTCTAAAGCCAATGGCAAGATAAAGAGAAGACTACTTTTTTTTTTTTTTTTTTTTAAGATTTTGTTTTTAAGTAATCTCTATACCCAACATGGGGCTGGAACTTACAACCCTGAAATCCAGAGTTGCATGCTCTACCAACTGAGACAGCCAAGAGCCTCATTTCAATTCTTCACAGGCAAAACAACTCCTGTAAAATTCTACTGCTTATTTAATAAAGAATTCTTTTTAAAAATCTATTTCAATAATAAATTTAAGTTGCCGTAACTGCTACTGTAACACTTCAGATGTACTAGTCATTGCAACATGAGACTTCTCATTTAAGCCAATTAGGGTTATTTCTTCCCAAATTTCAAATCATTGTAAGCAATCAACATGTGAAAGATTAAGGAAACTTACAGAAATAAGACAGAGCAAAGATTCATATATTTAGCTACTAGCATGTGAGAGCTAATTTTCAGTTAGGAAAAGATACTCAGCTAAGGGAATGCATTTGGCAGCTTGTGTAGATATTTCTCAAGAGGACACCTAAATGAGATGTTGCAATTCTTGCTACATGTAGTTTGTCATTAAACAGGAATGGTAGAGGCTACTGCAAAAGCAGAGATAAAGTTATCTTTTTTAAGTGCAAGAACAGGCTGATCTTAAACCCTGTAGCAAATTTAATGGGAAACAATATACTCTGTCTTTAAATGAACTAATCAAAAGATGACTAAAATACTGTTAAATTAAAAACTATAAGAGTACATACGTTGTGTTATCTTAAAAATGGAAACTAATCTGTCAGTTATTCGGAGTTCTGGGTTTCTTTATTTTTAAACCCTTTGGCCCTCATTTAAAGTTGATTTCCAAATAATTTACAAAAAGACTAAATCACTTTTTTAATTAACTTACAAAGTAAACTCATAGTTTAGCCAAAGGAAAAGTTTAGAAGATTTTTAGTAGGCAGAAAGTTAATCTTTGAACAGTATAGAGTTGGTTCTTAAACAGCAAGACTATCTTCCCATACGATCTCTAGCAAGGTTTATAGTATCTTTTCATCTCCTTTACCACAGATTTCCATTGGCCTTACAGAGGTAACTAAACAAGATCAAAGCAGACCTCTTTTTCCAACTAACTGGACTCCATTTTCTGAACCTAAAACCCCGCTATTTTCAATACAGATGGGGGATCAGACTAAAAATGTAACCTCTTAGAGCAGTTTACTAAGATTTGGATGGAATCTGCCAATGCAATTAATCCTTAGCTACTAAATGGATACTGAAATTCTAGATCATTTGTCTGTGATGGTCCTAGATCCAGGATACAGGGCTGGCTTTAAAATATTCCACTGAGTCCCAGTGACCTTCTTGGTTTGGAGAGCCAGCGAAAACGTGAACAAAAACTAGAATAAGAGTAATAGCGAACATTAACAGTCATAGATAACGTTAATGTCATCATCTGTTTGATATAAACCCTGCACATGGATTATCCTCGTTAAGCTCACAACAACTTTGTGACAACAGTACTAGAGTTATCGCCACTTTGCATACAAGAAAAATAAGGCTTAGACAAAACTTCCCAAGATTACAGGGCCAATAAGAGCTGAGGAAGGGGGCGCCTGGGTGGCTCAGTCGTTAAGCGTCTGCCTTCGGCTCAGGTCATGATCCTGGAGTCCCCGGATCGAGTCCCGCATTGGGCTCCCTGCTCGGCGGGGAGCCTGCTTCTCCCTCTGACCCTCCCCCCTCTCATGCGCTCTCTCTCATTCTCGCTCTCAAATAAATAAATAAAATCTTAAAAAAAAAAAAAAAGAGCTGAGTGAGGATTTGGTTTCAGGGCTTGTGTCCCAATCCTGACCTGACACTATTTCTGGAAAAAAAGGGCTACTGCAAGACCCAGGCACTGACCCGATTCCAACGATGGGATGAATGATAACTGTGCCTCTCTGGCCAAGTTACAGAACCTATCTGGGACTTGGTCCCCTCTTCTGTAAAATACTCCCTCTTCTGCATTCCACAAGGCCACTGTGAGCTCTCAAGTTATACTATCCCAAAATACACTAATTTTATAGAATTCATAGGAATTATTTTTGAAAGATTTGAGAGACAGAGAGAGAGAGAAAACACAAGCCAAAGGGAAGGGCAGAGGAAGAGGGAGAAGCAGACTCCCCGCTGAGCAGGGACCTGACCCCACCTCCCTCCCTGATGCCGGGCTCAATCCCAAGACCCTGAGATCATGACCTGAGCCTAAGGCAGACACTTAGCCAACCGAGCCATCCAGGCACCCGCATAGAAAGAACTTTAAATGAGCTCTAGGGAGTCCAAGATTTGTAACTAGCTTTTGTGATTTGGGGTAAGTCATTTACCACCACCATCCTAGTTATTTGCCTCACTTCAAGGGCTATTTTTTTTTTTCCAGGTTTGGGACAATGCTTGTTTTAATGGTAGATTCAAGTACACATTGCATTCAGCTGCTACATATGGGTTCCATATAAAGCTCAATTTCCATATTATTTTTCTCATTTAATATCCTGTGGTATTTGATATCACTTACTTGTGAGGTTCCTTGATAGACTTGTACTGTCTTCAAGTTTAAACATTAATTTATTCTTCTCATCTTTCTCAGTAAATCCCAGTAATATTTTCTAATCACATTAGAACTGGGCCTTAAACCAAGAAATCATCAACAGAACCATGCTGGGTGAAAGAACAGTAGAGGCCGAGCTTGTCACTTGCTGTTGGAAGTGTAGGAGTGCAAAGGAAGTATCACAAGACAAAACATCTCTACTGGTTTAAGGACATTTTTCTTAAATTAAAACTTAGCTAAAATATGAACACTAAAATGGTGAATTTAACGGAATTTTTTTTTTTAAGATTTTATTTATTTGACAGAGAGAGACACAGCGAGAGAGGGAACACAAGCAGGGGGAGTGGGAGAGGGAGAAGCAGGCTTTCCGCGGAGCAGGGAGCCAGAGGTGGGGCTCGATCCCAGGACCTGGAATCATGACCTGAGCCGAAGGCAGACGCTTAACGACTGAGCCACCCAGGCGCCCCTGGAATTTTTGACTATGTATTCTATCCGAGGGGGTGGGAGGGGGTTCAATGTTTAGAACTGGGTTCAATGTTTTATTTTAAGGGCTATTTTTAATACTAAAATAGGGGTGCCTGGGTGGCTCAGTCAGTTCAGTGTCTGACTTCAGCTCAGGTCATGATCTCGGTCCTGGAATCGAGTCCCGCATTGGGCTCCTCACTCAGTGGAGACTCTGCTTCTCCCTCTCCCTCTGCCCTTCCCCCCTCTCATGCTCACTCTGTTTCACTCAAATAAATATCTTTAAAAATATGTATTAAAATATGTCCGTGCTTCAGGAAGTGTAATATAGCACATAAAGTACTATCCCACCATCTTCAATAAAATTTTAGAACATTAAGATTATGGAACTAGGCAACTGTGATAAATTGGCTTCTCATCCCCTTGCGCCTTAGGACTTAAAAATATCTAGTCTTCAGTATTTTAAGGTAATCCTTATTTGTAGTAAATTTGAAGAAAGAAAAGCAGACCAGTAGAGAGAAACCTCCAGGTTTCCATTTATATATGAGAAGGGTAGGGAAGGTCAAAAACACATAACCCTATAAGTGTTGGGGGGGGGGGAGGGATATGTGCCAATTAATACATTAATTTTAGAAAAAAGCAGCAGTGGGAAAAAAAATTCTATGTATTCCCTGACTCTGGCAGTTTGACAAAGTTAATGATTAAAATGTCCTACATTTTCCCCAGAGTGTCTATTTGCCTTGATTGATATTAGTTTACCTCTTGTGGGCCAAGGATGACTGCCCTTGTTTCTGTGTAGAGATTAATAATTGATTAGTTCACAGTCAGGAATCTTAGTAAAAAGAAACTGGTTACTTTGGGCTGCTACTTTGTCCTGGGTCACGTACAGGAGACGGGGTGTTGCAGAACTTGCTGGCAGAAAAATGAAGGTGATCCTGGTTCTTCTGCTTGCTGTAGCATTTGTGCATGCTCTAGAAAGAGGTAAGACCTTCCAGCGGTGCCATCACTTATAAGAATTCTTACTAGTTTGATTTTCCATTACCGTTTTTAAAAGTTCTACAACAGGTGAAGAACAGAGTTGGTAAACATGTTGAGGAGTAAGGGTAGAATCAAAGAGGCACCAATCTGAGCTCAAATGGGGCATATAACATTGAATTGGAATGGGCAAGAAATCAAGAACCTCATAAAAGAAAAATCATAATTTTTCAATTATCCCTCCCTGCTTTTTTGAAAACCAAGATCTGGAGAGAATTGCTTGAAATTAGAAATTTTTTCATTGTTAAAAGATAACACAAATGACAGGCACCTGGGTGGCTCAGTGGTTGGGTGTCTGCTTTCAGCTCAGGTCATGATCCCAGGGTCCTGCGATCAGTCCCCTGTCGGGCTCCCTTCTCCGCAGGATGCCCTCTTCTCCCTCTCCCACTCGCCCTGCTTGTGTTCCCTCTCTCACTGTCTGTGTCAAATTTTTTTTTAAATCTTAAAAAAAAAATATATATATATATATAACGCAAATGGAAGCTGTAGTCCATCACGGAGTATTTTTTCCCCCAGACTTCGAAGATTTATTGTTTTTGAGAGCATAATATACCATATCAATGATGCATGAAGTCAGCTAAGATCTTTGATCCTCTTCAAGGAATTCTGTGTACGTGTAATATTTGAAAATGCATTATAGTTTCTAAAAGATCCTACATGAAAGAATTTAATAGATATGAAACATGACTCAATAATTAAGCTATATTTTTCATTAATATTCTTCAAATGATGTCTTTATCTCTGAGCAATGTTTAAAAACCTTTTTAAATGATACAAGCTAAAATATGTGAAGCATACAACTTCATGAGAAGTTCCCAAGTTGCAAAATTCATAATCTGTTCCAATTAACTTTTCTGGCTGATTCTTTAATGCTTATAAGGAAATCTGCATTTGTCTTGCTTTGGCAAATTAAAACTTCCATCTCATGCTCTCAGTGAACAGCCTCGCCCATATCACAGGGTAATATTCATATCGGTAACCTATCTAACCAGTAGAAGATGTGTATCCCAGAAATTGTCAGTTACTGTGACGTGAATAACCTTATCGCTCTTTTTACATTCACTTTTCCTTCATCTTTGGTTATTGAAGTTACTTTAAATTTTAAGTTACTCACTTATAGATTCTTAAGGAAGCTATGGGTCCTTACGTTAGACTACTAAGTCTGAGATATAAATAAATGGTGTCCTTTACAAGACCTCTGAATAGGCCAAGTCCCAAGAAACCCTGAAAGCTTACTCCTTTGCCCAAGGCTTCCCTGGGGCAGATCTGAACCTGAAAAATCCTACTGAAATATGTTCAGATCAAGATCTTCAAAACACAGAGGATCTCGGAGTGACTAGGTTCTGGGATTATGTGCGGACACCATAGCTTGGGGCATGAGTCATTTTGAACTGCTGACTCAGTAAGTATATATTAGATTCACCACAAAGGATTACAAACGTCCTCTGGAAAACGGTATTCTGCACCCTCTGTTTTGACATCATTCAGTTCTGTCTCACGCTCTGATGAAATGGATGCTAAAAACTACAATTCACCTTCCTTTAAGGTCTGAACTTCACAATCAACTTCAGTCAGATTACTTAGGTGCCGCAGGTAGATGATCTCCCGAGACATAAAATACATTTGTAAGTGATACATGTCCAATATTCGGGAACAGTAGTCCTGACACATCAGTCCTCTATTCTACAATACATGAGCATGACCCAAATGACCAAGCCAATGATTTACCTGGAAGCTAGGTGTACGGTCTCCTGGAAGAAAGTTACAAAGTACAGATTAAAGGAATTGAGAGGAGGCTTGGGTGGTAGGGGATGGGTTTGGGATCCAATTCTCTCTGCCTTTTATAGTTCCAGAAAGTGGACCAACAATCCACAGCATGTATCTAGAACATCTTTTTGAAAGTATTTCATTCAAGACTCCTCTTGGAAGAAAGTTTCTATGGCCAAACACATTTAAGAAATAAGCCATACATTAGTCCTTCTTGGTCAGTTTACAATCAAGGTCTTTGTTATCCTAAAGATTCTGAGAAATCATATAAGAAAGAAATCTTATTTACCCCAGTTTCCCAAACATATGGGCGCATTCCTAAAGTGCCTTTGGGAAAGGAAGTGTTCTTTGGGAATTGTCAGGTTTAAGATGGGATCTACTACAGCTCACCATGAATATCAGCTCTAGTTCGGCCAGTCCTCCCTTATCAAATGCACTGGAGATTCAGTTCACAAGACCCTGGGTACATCTTGGGAGAGAAGGCCCTTGCCAAATATGCCAAATCTGGATGGAGTCATAAGAACATATCCACTTTAGCTACCCCATGAAAGGCAAGCAGTCTGTGTGTGCCAGGTGCCTCTCCACTCAGCTTCTTTCCTCAGGACTGAAATCTAAAATGTATCTTTCCCTGTTCCCAATGAAGCAGCAGGAAGGCTGTGACACAGCTACAGGATTGCTAAGGAAATAATCCTACAGGAAACAAACCTCTGCATTTTATATGAGCTGTTGGCCATAACAGGTATTTAGTATGAACATTTTCTTTTTTGCTTTAAGCAGCTCATTCTCAGCATATGTATTGTGACTAGATGGGATATCAAATAGTAAGAAGAAAGTAAGCCCTTTGGGTTGGTGGGTAAGCTGCATTTTTCCTTCTCCCACTCGCCTGTCAGACAATATGGGCTATCCCAACCTCCCCACTCACCACTGAATCACTGTTTCTCTTTTCTACAAGTTGCCCCTTCGTCAGCAGCCATACTAAAAACAAGTTGTCCTAAGTTTGATTCAGGGACATAGCTGTACAGAAAGCATGATAAGTGGGTAATCTTCTCTATTTTCTCAGAGAAGTCTTTATATCCTCTCTGCAAAACCTATATAATGGTTATTGAGGGGGTGACCTAGGATAGGAGATCTACATGATGAAAAGACCGCCATGCAAAGATCTAGAAGTATGTTTCAAGCTGAAGGAATGGAGGTGTAGAAGTACAAGCCTGGCCTGATTCAAGTTCGAAAAGCAGCCAGAGTCAGAGCCCAAAAGAGGTTTAGCCAGGAAGGGGGAGGAGGAGGAACTGAAATCAGAGAGAGAACTAACTTTTGTCATCAAAGGCAATGTTAAGCTCCCTGGAAATCAATAGCAACGTGACGCTCCACTGTTGTCAGGTATAACGCCAGGTATGTCCTCACCACCATGTGTATAGTATAGGGGTAGGTATGCACGCTTTTAAAGGCCAGGAGATCACTCTATCAGTAAGAGATGAAGACTCCTTAAGAGGCATTGATTACCCTTCTCCCTGGGTACCTATGGCCACTTAACCTCTTTGTTCTGCCCACAGCTACCCCTTCACTCTGCATCAGCCACAGACCTCTACATTCTCCCATGTAGAACACTACATGTTCTGCACCTAAGGGGCTTGCACTAGCTTCCCCCTCCTCTTAGAACACTGACCCCCCCCAATATCCACATGGCTCCCTTCCTCACCTCTTTCATGTGTCTGCTCCAAGTTCATGTACAGAAGAGGCTTCCCTGACCAACCTATCTCAAATAGCACTGACCACTTCATTTTTCTCTATCCCCTTAACCTGCTTTATATTTTTCTTTTTGGTACTCATCACCTTACCTGATCACCAGCTGTTCATCTGTTTATTATAACAAATACAAAATGTAGACCCTAAGCTCCATGAGATCAAGGAGTTTATTTCTGTTCCTTAATTCCCAGTTTTAGAATACCACCTGCCAGGTAGTATGTGTTCAACAGAGGTTTTGTGCAAAATCACAAAATTAGGATTGTTAGAGTACCGATCTCAAAAGGTAGTTTTGAGTATTTAAGGAAAATTGAGTTTCAATTAGAATACCTAATAGACATCCTGAAAGTAGTAAACTCTAATTCTAAAAATAAGATTTATAAATTATCCACTGTGAAACATTGGTCTTAGAGTCTATGCACCGAATAAAATAGACAATATTCACAATGTCCCAGCATGTTCAAGATCTTTTGAATAGATCTATTTCATCATTATAACACCCTGATCAACTCAGCATTATCATCCCCACTTTAAAAGTGAGAATCTGTAGGAGGGAGGAGTCAGTAGCTTATCTAAGGAAACCAAGCTAGTAAGTGGCAGAATCAGAATTTTAGAGCGATTAGTTAGGTTTACAAAGACAATGCTCACAATCATGGCTTGGCTGCCTCTCATGGGACAGATATCTGAACAATCTTTCACTAATATAAGAATAAGAGAGAAAACCAGTTCACTACCACGAGTTTAGGGGGAATTAAGTAAAATTCATGCTGCCTACTATTATCAGTAACTGATCCAAACTCTAGTTCATCTGTACTCCATGGATCCAGCTCTGTCTTCTAATTTCCCTATTTCCCCAGTACCTTGGAATCATTTATGTCCCATCCTGTAGAGACTTCCTGGATTTTATTGTATCCATTTTTGCTGTCTATATTCAATCATTTCCACATTCTACCATTTTCAGCTCCGAAATACATCAGCCATATACAGAACCTTCTACTATAGAAAGCTCCTCCGTATTCCCTTTTTCTTCTCTCCTTTACCCTCCTACCTGTATCTAGCTCAAGGCCTGGTGAACACTACCTCTCATATCCACTACATTTCCACATACTGTCTTTGTCCAGATCCTGTTCCCCTTCACCTGACTATTGCAATGGCTTCCTAATCAAACCCTATCTCTTCCCCAATCAATTCATATTAAGATACAATACCAAACCTGATAATCTGGTAACTGGAATCCAAAAGATGAACTACATCAAAGTCAGGATCACTCTTGAGAGATTAATGAATTGATGAGCTTGAGCATGTACAACTGACTGGTAGGATTCCAGGGTTCGGGCGGTCTGATACAAATCCACCCAATTCTGGTCTCTGTTTAGAGCCACCTGATGGTGACTTGAGGCTTAAATAGGAATATATGGTAAGCAGAATAAGGGCCCTCC